AGATTGGACCCTAGGTGCTGTAAATATTAAGTTGCTCTATTTTATACCCTACCTGCCTCCAACAGCCACAGGCTGAGAACACACAAAGAAAAGCAGGCCCTATTTAAAAAAAAAAAAAAACAGTCCCGCCCTATAAATGTAATTTATTCTTTGCACACAGCAGGAGAGGGTAAGTGATTGCTTTATGTGTCATGATCAACACATTCAATAATGGAAGTGAATTTAAAAAAATATATTCTCCAGTAATTTTTGAGAGATCTGAATAATTCTCAATCCACCCTTAAAGGACACTTTGAAGGGTTTACATAATTTGGAGAAATGCTGCTAGGACAACATAAATGGCAAGAAAAGCTGAAGAACTCTGATGTGGGTAAAAGCTGCAGAGAGTACCTCAATTTAGTGCAAATACCAATAGTTCATCTTTCATGCAGAGCCAAATTATTTATAAATTTACCATCCTTTTTATTCTCAGAGAATACTGATCCAAGCACAGGATGAGTACAAAAATTTTATGTTCTATTTGAGTGGAAGTGTATAACAATTCAATTGAATTTCATTGAATCAGCAAGGTGCTAGAGTAGGCAGACTAATGTCAGGGAAAGATTTTAACTTTCTTACCCAACCTGTTATGGTTCGTCCAGAGACACTGAACATCTCAGGTTTGAGAAATGAAACACACTGTTAGGAGGCAGTGTTATTTCTTGTAGTGATGCTCCTGTCTCTGGGTAGCGTGGTACTCAACTCTTTTGTCATCTACCAAACGAGAGCATTCCTTCAAGTAGATTTGTGACACTTAATGGAAATCCTGCTAACACCAAGGGCCCAGATCCTTAGTTTGATTCTGATCTCACTCACTGGGCAAATGTAAGCATAAAATTACTGTAGCTTTGAAACCAGTAATTTTTAATTTGGAGGGGAATAAGTTGAAATCAGCGAGGCCGTATCTGCTTAGGTTATCGGTAATTTTGGCCCTACACTTGTTTTCATGTGTTTCCCTTTTGCTTGATGGATTTTAAGGGAAAGAAAGAGTTTATGTGGGATATAATTACCTCTTTAGTCTAGTATCTTGAGTTATTTTTCCAGCGGAAACTTCTGGGTGGGAAAACTGGACACTTTGGAAAGCGTGCCAAAATTTAGTGCAAGTTTATATTTACCAAAGGAACATTTGACATTTCATTGATGCATCACAAAGAGAAATAAGGGACACACCTGACAGAATTATCTTGTACTGAAATACTTTAAAACGAACAATGACACTGCCCAGCAGTAAGAAAAAGCGAAGCGAAGGCGTAAGTACTGAAAAGGAAATAATGTGATTCTATGGAAAGTGTGAATATTACTCAGAGCACAATGACACAATCCTTAGTTTCACAGTATAGGAGAAACCTTTTAAAACATACCAAAACGTTAGATATTTTTAAAGAGTTTAAGGTATTTCCAGTGCAAATACAAAAGTGCTTTATTACAACTTGCATACCTTACCACCTTAAAGAATTTTGAAAAAAAAATTATGGAAAATATTTTTCCAAATCAGCCGTGTGTAAATTTTAGCATGGTGATTTTAAATTTCTTTAGAGACATTTTTGCTTGCACTCCATCTTATTACAACATGCCATTCTGACACAAGTAAAACTTTCATGAGACCCCTAACAACAGACAGTGGTTTTCTATCCCCAAACTGCCATACACGCGCTAGATTTGGGCTTATCAGAGATGTGAATACTTTGCCCTATTTTTCATTCATCAACACAAGTTTCCTATCTATGCCAACCTCAACTTTCACAGCAAATGATAATGAAAAAGACCTTTAGGCAAAGCAATAAAGAGTAATATAAAAGCTCATTATAAGCCCAGTTCATAAAATTACAAGCTGTAGCGTGCAGTATGCACAAGTAAAACTGAAAACCAAATTCAAGCATACCAAATGAGATTATAAACTAGCTGTTGTTTTTCTGTCTGGGAAAAGTAATTCTTTAATGAGCTTGGAAACACAGCTAAATATTTTCTTTCATAAATTCAAGAAAAAGCCATACCACTTTTGAGACTTCTGCTGGGCAGCTTTTTCTCCTCTCTCTTTTCCTCTTTTAAATTTTAAATACTGCATAGGAACCATTTGCTCTGTGAGGTTCCCATAGTTAGGACCAAACCCTTCTCAGAGGAATTTTGGCACCTTATTAATTAGTTGGTTATGAGAAGGAGCTGCACTCTTTCAGTGACTCCTATTTTGCCATCAGTAAAGTGTGATCCCGTAATAAATTTCCATCAAGCAAACTATTTCTGGTAATTCCCCCTAATTAACACCAGACTGCTAATAATAAATTAGGCCCTATGTGTTTCTGATATAACCAAGATCTTGTCTGAGCACAAGATATTAACCAATGTCCTGAGAAAGTAAAACTCGAACCTAAATTAAGCCTTTGCTGGTAAAAGGATTTATATGCAATTTTGTGAGAAACCCTTTGAAGATCTCATACAGGGCATTTTGACCAGCAAACATTTTGAGTGACAGAGAGATTTGTTCTGTGCTGAGCAGTGAAAGTGGATTTATTGTGAAAACACACCGTTGAGTTTTAAGCCTATAAATCTTACACTGGATTACAGTGTCTTAATGAATGAATGACAGATCTCTATTTTTTTGTCGGTGCATTTTAATGTTACGTGACGCTGTGATTGATAGAAACCAAACCTTTGCCATTAAAACGTCAAATTCAGACTTGATGCCTTTAAAAGTTTGGCTTCTGGAGTTTAATATACTGTTTGCAAATAGACTTGTGTTTGTCTCGTTCATAGCCTAAACACTGAAGGGGAGGCAAATTTTCTGTAAAGTTGCCTCTAAATTTTATAGAGCTGTGTGCAGTGTTTTCCTTTGCTTGTGTAAATAAAGGTAGAAAACAACAGTGCATTTGCCTGGTTAAGAGATACTCAGCTAAGGAGAGTCTTACCAGGCTGGTATTATCATGAAGTAATTGGCCATGTTATAGTAGACGGATAAGTAGCCCGTGGTGAAAGCGGAGACTGCTGTGCGCCAAGGCTAAGTGCAGTATCAGATACTGCCTGCTCTGGCAAGCATTATTTCCTTGAACAGTCTCAACTTAGGAAGAACATTAAACACTTCTAAACAAGCATTGCAAAGTATTCTAGATGGGAGGTAGAATGAAGTAAAGATACCAAATAAATAGTAATTGGCCAATATTGAGTTTTACATTGTTACATATTCTACAGCGTTCAATACCATTTCCATCTTTCATTCCATCTTGAGAAAAGATGAAGAATCAGAGACTCACCGAGGTTGGAAGGGAACTTGTCTAGTCCAAGGGCCATGTCCAGTCGGGTTTTGAGTATCTCCAAGGACAGAGACTCTGCAATCTCTCTGAGCAACCTGTGCCCGCGTTTGACCGTCCTCACAGCTGTCCTGTCACTATGTACCACTGAGCCAAGTCTGGCTCCATCTTCTTTACTCCCCCTCCAGGTATCGGTACACACGAATGAGATCCCCCCAAGCCCGCTCTTCTCCAGGCTGAACAGTACCAGCTCTCTCAGCCTCTCCTTGTATGACAAATGCTCCAAGCACTTCAACATCTTCCTAGCTCTTCACTCCACTATGTCCATGTCTCTCTTGTATGGTGAGACCAGCACTGGACCCAGCACTCCAGATGTGTCTCACCAAGGCTGAGCAGAGAAGGATCACCTCCCTCAATCTGCTGGCAATGCTCCCCCTAATGGACCCCAGGAAGCTGGTGGTCTTCCTTGTCACAAAGGGGACATCACTGGCTCATGGTCAACTTGGTCTCCACCAGGACCCCCAGGTCCTTTTCTGTAAAGCAAACCTCCATTCTACCCCAAAAAACTGAAGAACAAGCAACTCAAATGATATAGAATCATAGAATCATTTAGGTTGGAAAAGACCTTTAAGATCATCAAGTCCAACTGTTAACCTAGCACTGCCAAGTCCACCACTAAACCATGTCCCTAAGCAACACACCTACACGTCTTTTAAAT